GAATATTGCTAAAAGCGGCGTAAAACCATACTCTCTCACTCAATAATAACATAGCCTATATCTGCGGCTTTGTCATGTTTTAACTGAAAGGTTACATTATGTACTTCGTTTTAGGAGAATCGAGTAGACATTGTGACGTGTCGATTCCCAAATTGAAACAATATGTACGTAAAAGAACAGTGTGAAACCAACAAACAACCTACAAGCGATGTAAATTAACAATTGTATTACAAATTAACTAGGTTTACAAATAAATACAAATTCCTACACAGCAATTACAATGGCAGTAAGCAATAGAGTGGTAGTACAATAAGCAATGACAGTATCAAATACAAAATATGATGTCAGTGGTGGTATCAAAATGTTCTGTGATATTAATATTTACCTATCCACAACAGCGGTCAAGCTTCCGAGAAAAGTGATCTGCACACGAAAGCTGGTCTTGATGTAATGTCAGATGAACTGTGAGATGCCCGCGCTCCACTTATGTAATCTGAACAGCTTCCAGCACTTTACACACAGTGATAGACCAGTAGGGTGTCACTAGGACACCACAGACTATAAAACATGTTTCTATAACACTTGACATCCATCGCTGCTATTCAAGAAGTTCACAGATAGTTTGAGCATCTACATATAAAAACTTCCACACCACTGCCTACACTAGATAGTACTACATTCCTGACAGCTAATCATTATCCAAATACAATGCAATATACTTCAACTGAATCGCAACAGAAACAATGTAATATAGCCACAATTATTGTTTATTAATATTACACTGCCAAATAACAACTTTGATATACCTGCCTCACGTTTTGCGCATCATGGAATTTGTTCACGTGAAGCACTGTCTTCATCAGCTGATGAACGTCAACAAAAAGAACTGCAATCCTTAAATGATACATTTCAAGCATTCAAGTCTTATTTCACTCACTATATTGATTGTGATAATTGGGAATACTGCCTTCGACCAAGATCCAAATAACACATTTGGTGTCCCCGCAAAGCAGTGATTAGTGATCTTGTTCCTCTTCCAGCGGCCTTGCTATAAAAAAATCATTGTATACCGATACGCTTTTTTGGGTACGATCCCAGACCAGTGGATCCGTTGCATTTCAGTTATCATTCTCAACTTCCTGGGGAGTATACAGCCCTAGCTGCCTAAGGGCGCTGGATGGTTTCTACATCCACCTCGCATAATAATAAAGTTATCCAGTTGCTTGGGTACGGGTGATTACGGGTTATCCATCACTTTACGTGCGAGTCTGCCAAATGTACAAGTTACGGATCGTCCAGGTCCCATATCGTGTATTGTTTGTTTGTTGTTTAACGCCGCACTATTCCAGCTATATGACGGCGGTATGTAAATAATCGAGTCTGGACCAGACAATCCAGTTATTGACAAAAGGAGCATCGATCCACGCAATTGGGATACGATGACATGCATCAACCAAGTCAGCGAGCTTGACCACCCGATCCCGTAAGTCGCTTTTTACGACAAGCATAGTCGCCTTTTACGGCAAGCATGGGTTGCTGAAGACCTATTCTACCCCGGATCTCCACGGGTCCATATCGTGTATTGAAATGAGCAGATGCTAATTGTAAATTTAAAGAAACGAAGATCTGTATTTGTTCATGTGGAAAAGCTCGTCGGTGTCTGCACACGATGTGGACCCTTTGGGTTTGAAATGTGCACCCGAAGTGGACCCTTGGGGTTTGAAATGTGCACACGAAGTGGACCCTTGGGGTTTGAACTGTACGCACGAAGAAAGCCTTTACATTTCCTTTGATGTTGCCGGTGTTGTTTTGCGACCCACGGGGTCTTCCCGGAAGGTTTGAGGTTAACAAGGCATCGAAGCAAGTTGATTGGCACAACGTCTCCACAGGCACCACAAGCACCACAAGCACCACAGGCTCCACAGGCTCCACAGGCACCAGTGGAACCACACCCAGTCAGCCGGGCCCAGCACGAACAGCCACTGGGGGGGATATCACAGCCGACTCAACAAAGGCCCACCCACCACATCTGAGGAGATCACCTTCCTCACAACAGTCCAGATGACAATTGAAACCAATATTCAACAGTAAACAGATAAACATCCCAGTCCTCTAACAACGTCCGACGCGCAGTGCGAATGCCACGATACACTTTGCCGACGCTGTATCCAACCAGTTGCACCAGTTTTAATCGATGATAATCTTATCCATGTCAACAATTAACATTTATGTGTGTAGATGTAGAATTGTTTTTGTACGGAGCACGACCGCTCCTATGGTCTTGTAGCAGAGCGTCCGGCGGAGAGCGGAAGGTCCAGCGTTCGATCCCTGGCCGCGTCATACCAAAAGACGTTTAAAGATGGTGCTTGTAAGCCTGTCTGGTGCTAAGCATTCAGGGGCTTAAACAAGGATTGGTAATTGTCTGAGTGGGGTATTCATCTTAAAAAGCGGCACGGTGTCTCAGTGGGCTAGCACTATAAAACCGGCATTAGTCCGAACTAGTACAAGCACAGACCTATATATACTCACCGACAAAAGAACCGCGAATACCATTTATGTTGGTTAATATTTGAAGAATTACTCATATTCAAGAGATATTAGATTAGTTCGATGCACTAACGACCATACTGTTGTGTGAACCGACGTTCATGAACGCATCACATGTGACGTCATAGATCCATGACTCGAGGTGCACCATTTGTAGCTCACCTGGATATGAAGTCAACAAGTAATAAAGGCAACAGCCACTAAACAAAAGATTCTGTCAGATAAGATATTCAAATATATGCTGCATTAATATTGATGACTAAAATACTACTTTGTACAGCTAGTATAGCAGACTGGCATAGCGAATGTAAAATAACATTTTATCAACATTTTTACCTCCTCACAGTGTACTTCTTTTATACATACACTGAGAAAAATGTCAAGTGAACTTGTAACAGCGACCAGAAGGTTAGTAAACAGCGAATGTACTACCCTGTCTGGTAGATTGCACGAGGCAGCTGTGGAGAGAAGGGGTATCTTATTTCAGTTTCGGCGTCATGACCACGTGACATTCGTCACTTCCGCCTTGGTCAGGTGTCATGCAATTCGTGACCAACTCGTGTTATTCAGGGACAAGCCATGTAGCAATTGGTTCTCCAATCGTGGCCATTTTTGCGACTGGATTCCGGCGTAGCTCGTTGCGTATATTTTCTCCCAGAAATCGTAACAGTTTTACTATATATTCCAGACTCTATATAAAACACAACGGGACTCACGGTATTATACAGCATGAATGAACACATTTAACTGTATTCTGGGTAAATATTTAGATGCAAGACATATGTAAAATAAATACAATTATTCCTTCGGGATTCTTTGATCGCAGTACTTGGAAGTACGCGAATTCTGATTGGTTTGTCGTATTTTCGCACATGACATTCATCCATAGGGGGACGAATCTTCTTGCAGGTTACGGAAAGGGGCGAGTGGTTACCAATGGTACGACGAAGAGATGACTTTGAGTCAGAGTGTTTGGTAAATATTGGCTTTGCAACGTTGTTGATGTTATTTTTTCAAGATTGAAACAATTATTAATGAAGAAGGGAGGTCAGTTATACGTTTGCCTGTGTACAATAAGATTTGTTTATATTATTTACCTGCCAATTACTTTTTGTAGCATTATAAAAGTAAAAAAAGCCAAGGAAATCAGTATATGCTATCTTTCACCTGTATTCTTTGTGTCATGTTTTATTTTGAACACGTTTAGGGTCTAAACACATGAAATGAGCTATCATCTCACAGACTAAATACCACCAAAACACAACATATAATATGTAATTTTGACATGAGATGTGCAATTAACATTCACGCGCACTTGCATAACACACATACCACCAGGATTTACAACTTGGGGGCGGTCGGGTAGCCTAGTGGTTAAAGCGTTCGCTCGTCACGCCGAAGACCCGGTTCGATTCCTGACATTGGTACAATGTGTAAAGCCCATTTCTGGTGTCCCCCGCCGTGATATTGCTGGAATATTGCTAAAAGTGGCGTAAAACCATACTCACTCACTACAACTTGGTAAACTATTAACATAAACATATACAAATAAACTAAGCTGATGCTGACTAGGACGACAGGCACTTTGACTTCAACAGACTCCGTAGCACAGGTAGTAACGTGAAGGACGATTGATCAACAGGTTGCAGGTTCGTGTCCAACTGCATGACGTATACAATTCTATGAGTCCATACATCTGTTGTTGTTGTTGTTGTTGTTGTTGTTGTTGTTGTTGTTGTAACTTCTCTCATACAGGAAGCTGGCAATGAAAGTATATCTGATTACTCACACCGTTTTAGTTAGTGACGATAGACAACCTACAATAGTAACTGGTAACGAAATACTAACTGATTAGTAAAGTCTACTAACATAGATATGCATTTTAGTGAGTGAAATTTGTTCGTTCAAAAAAGATCCGTGCAACATAGCAAGTGTTCCAGGAAGAATATTCCAGATTAGTTTTTGATAAAATGTTCATTACAGGATGTTCTCTGTAAGATGGTCATGGCAGAAATATATTGTCCATAGAGAATTTGCAGATAGAACAAACGTACTCGACTGAATGTTCAAGATTAGCAACTCCTGGATAACGATATTCTCATTCATATATCCCAACAGCCTGTCGGACTATATTTCAGTAAGCATTTGTGAGATTAACGAGGCGTGCCATCCCCTGTCATTTTGACATTGAACACTACTGATTCTATAATACTCATGCCCTTACGATGCAAGTCGACTAACCTCATGCGTAACTGCAATTTCATGCACCGAAGCCCACTGGGGATATTTTCTTTCCATCATTAATTACGCTTGATTGTTTCCGCAAACAGAAAAAATGCTTAATTTGCAAATACGTATATCAAATAAGGGAGCCAACTGAAACTTAATATCCAGTTATTTTTGTTGATACTGATGAAATGGCATCGATCATTTGAGCAGTTGGTATCACTTAACGTAACACGTACATTGTAGAATATCGTAGTAGCAAGCTAGATCCAGCATGAAGATGAAGCTACTTTGGACTACCGTTACTTTGTACATTGTATTGTCACTGGGTTACTGTCTGGATAATATGTTAGAGAGTGAAGCTACACTCACGATTAATACACCATCGTCGCGAGTCTTTGTCTGTGTTTGTTCCGACGCCGCTGAATGTGCTGCAGACAACTGGAGCGCTCTCCTGACAGAGTGTCGACTGAAGGCGGAACACGTCACTTACGAGGTGAGTGAGTGAGTGAGGTTTTACGCCGCTTTTAGCAATATTCCAGCAATATCACGGCGGGGGACACCAGAAAATGAGCATCACACATTGCACCCATGTCGGGAATCGAACCCGGGTCTTCGGCGTGAAGAGCGAACGCTTTAACCACTAGGGTACCCGACCGCCCCTTACTTACGAGGTACAGTACATGCGAGGGAAACGTTGGTGCCATGAGACGAGGGTATTGGCTAGCGTAGTTGTTTAGTGTATGGTTTTAAGAATATCAGAGGAGGGGGAAGGGTAAGAACATGTGTGGCAGAATACTTTCGTTGTTTGACGCCAATTCGATTATTTGATTATATATTGATAATACTTTCATGTCATGCGTTCTAGTTGAAAGTAAGGTAACAACATTGTCTTCAGCTGGGACAGCTTCATGAGTTTATCAGCGAGTGAGTGAACGTTGTTGGACGCCACAGTCAGTAATGTGCCAGCAAAGACGGTGGCCTTGAAATAATAGACCTGTATGATTAGTCACTATCATTGATCCGACCACTGCAATGTTATTACATCTATTACAATAGTATTGTGGTAGCTTGACTCGTACCTCTACTGCCAGGAATTATACAACCATATAATAAAGTCTAATACGTCATCAAAGTCCCAAATTCAGCATACTGAATAGGACCTTAATATGAAGTACTAGTAAAAATCCGAATCCTAATTATTTCATTTCGTTTGTTGTCAAATTCGATTAATTAATTATACATTGATATCAGGAGATATTCACCAGAGCACTTTCAGCATGAGTTTCGTTTGTTGTCAAATTCCATTCATTAATTATATATTGATATCAGGAGATATTCACCAAAGCACTTTCAGAATGCATTTTGTTTGTTGTCAAATTCCATTCATTAATTATATATTGATATCAGGAGATATTCGCCAGAGCACTTTCAGAATGCATTTTGTTTGTTGTCAAATTCCATTCGTTAATTCAATATTGATATGAGGAGATATTCACCAGAGCACTTTCAGCTTGATCGATCAGGCACCTTCCCACTTTGGATCCGAAAAGTGTCCGGACCAGAAACTTCTAAAAACGTTCTAAAGAATGTGGTAGTATACTTGGTAAAGTTACACATGTAAAAGTGCCTGAAAAAAACAAGACAGTTGAAGGAAGTTGAAGATATACGCAATGTTTACAGAAAAAGGAATCCTGTCTTTTCATGCTGATATTGTTTATATATTTAGCTTGGACATTTAGTATATTTTTTTGCATGTATAATATATAGGTTAGTATTAGAGAACTTGGATTTCGATTTAAATGATGCAGATGATTTTACCTTTTCAGGCGCCACCAGCAACATCGGGTAAGTTACACATAGAATACGTTCGCACAAACATATACATGTACATGTATATGTTCACAAATTCTGTCCCATGTAACGGAAGCAACTCTGTTCAACAATGTGTAGTGTTTGTGAAAATAATTGCATTTCGACTTTAGTTTTTGAATTTGTCAAATATCGTCTTCATAGGTTAAATGTGATAGCCAGGTAAATGTCGAAATTAAGATTTTAATTGCTTATAGCCCCTCTCAACAAAAAAAGTATTAGTAACATAAACTTTTATCTAGAAAAATGAAAGATGTAATCATCGGTCTCCGCCATGATTGTAGTGCTTCCACAATCGCAGGGAAAAAAATACACTCAAACATCGATGTGTCGAACTTCGATGTATCTCGGTTATCTCGAAGTAAAAACTTGGTCCCTGCGTATTCGTTCTTTATTCATCATTTTCGGTTGTGTCGAACCTCGGATACCTCCAACTATTTACGGAGGTCCCTTCAACGTCCAGACAACGGTGTTTGACTAAATATACAGTTTTATTGATCGCACGTGTCGTCTTTACTTAGATATGTAGCTGTATTTGGGTGAATCAGTTCTTGAACATTTACAGAAGGTCAGTATCTGACCCTGTCTAATCCGGATTTAGGTCAATACCGGACCAAATTTACGGGTTTTGAATTGACTTTTAAAATTTATATTCAACTAAATGTGGACCTCTAAATCTGTCTAAACGGGGTTAAAAGTTTTGTTCTTCATAAGCCTCCACCAGACAAATTGCACGATATCTGGATATTTATAACTTAGGATGTTGGGACACCGAGATCAGAAAAGGACGCAATCATTTGATTGTCTGGTCCAGACCAGACCGCCGTCATAAAGCTGGAATTTTGCTGAATGCAATGTTAAACAACAAACAAACAAACAAAACACCACATCATATACGTTTCGTGACTGAATGACAATGAATATTGTTTCATGGGGGTCAATAGCGCCAGGCTAGCAAGCGCCAGGTGCTGAGATCGTATCCCGCTAGAGACCGGGTTGTTATTCAGCCTTGGGACCAACAATGTTTACAGGTCTTTACAGTGTTGTCACTACCCCTAGCGTACAGTACACTCACCCTGTGAACTCAAAAAAAGCCACTCGTCCGATGACAGACGACCAGATGGTGGAAACACGAATATGTACATACCTCCGCAATACAAGTGTCAAAACTTGTGGGGTCACCCTGGGCAAGTGACTTAGTTCAAATGTGCCTCTGTTCATTCACCGGAAACAGGTACATGAGATGTGACGTGGATGTTAAAACCTTCTAGCGCCCCTATGCAGCTTGGGATATATACTCCCCAGGGAGCTGATAACTGAAATGCAAACGGATCCACTGGTAGGGGAACAAATGAAACCGCATTTGAGCAGATACTAGTACCTGGATACCTGAGGTATATATACTTAACCGCAAAAGAAACGTCACCCCAAGTAACATTGCATGAAAAAATTGTCATTTAAATAACATTTTGTCAAAGATTCTCAAATTTAACATTACCTTGTCCGGAAAAATGAAAGCAGATGACAATAAAACCGATCGCCCAAACGCATCACGGCAACGACAAATTGAAATGCACATGCGTTCCCCCATTTCTTGCCCTATAAAATCCATCCAGATCGGATAACATTCATTCGTTATTGAATTGCTACCACATGCCAAGATTGACAATGAATCAGCGACACCAAGAAGCCCTTGGACGATTGCAAGCTGGACAAACCGCCCGGCAAGTAACCAATGCATTTCAAGTCTACGTAAGGACCATATGCTGGCTCTAGCAACGGTACCAGAACACCAACACTACAGATGGAAGACGCTTAGTGGAAGACCAAGGGTCACCACCCGACGTCAGGAACGTCAGATTGTGCGACAGCATCTTCAAGATCACTTTGTTACTGCTGCGGAAACTGCTCGACAGACCATGGGGACACACCAGCGACACATTAGTGCAGACACCGTGCGTCGACGATTGACGAGCAGAGAGAGTTTGGCGACGCCGTCGGGAACGTTATTTGGATGCTTGTGTTGATGAGAGAGACTCGTGGGGTGGTCCGAGCATCATGGTGTGGGGTGGAATTGGTCTTGCACCGAGGGTCGGCCCTGTGGTCTTCCAGAACATCGGTCCAGGGAGAGGCAATGGTGTCACAGCAACTCGGTACATTGATCTTGAGACCACATGCCATACCTCATTTGGCGCGTCGCCACAACCACGAGTTTCAGCATGATAACGCCCGTGCCCACACTGCGAGAGCAACAAGAGGCTTCTTCCAGCAGAATGGCATCAGAACCATGCAGTGGCCTGCCCTTAGTCCCGATTTAAATCCCATTGAGCACCTGTGGGACGAGATTCAAAAACGGCTGAATGACGTCCGACCAAGGCCGACAACTTCAGCTGAGCTGCGTCAGGCGTTCCTTGGGTGTGGGCTCAAGTGCCTATGGCCTTCATCAACCGCCTCATCCATTCCATGTATCGACGTTGCACGGCACTCATCAATGCACATGGCGGACACACGAGACACTGACGTATGATGCCATTTTCCCAGAGACTAGTGTTGTGTTTCACTTTAAGAACATTTGACACTATTATTTCAACCTTGATGAACAGTTTTTCCAAGTTTCATCTTATTAATATGTCTCAAAGTATGTTTACAGTGTTTGGACAAATAAGGTTTCTCATATCTCACTAACGTCACTCTCAGCACTACGACCTAGTTGTTAGGAATCAATGCTTTCGCCATACAAACCCAACACTCCGAGGTGTATCATAATCATTTATATGTGGCGGATCAAAACTCAACTTGCATCCGCAGAAATTCAGAGGAGGAAGTCAGGGAAGCCAAAATAGCTCTCTGGGCATGGGTGCAGGTTCCGGAGACGGCCTCAGACCGCACCACTAGCTATTTGGAGACGAAAGCTGACACAACAGTGTTTCTAAAATAATTGAAATGTGTATCATTTTGGGGTCTTTTGAAACAAATTCAACAACATATTTACAGTTAGACTAACTTGTCTGCTATTGAACAAAAGGGATCCACCTGCGCTGGCTACGAACCAGCAATTCCAGTGAGACCAGTACAAGTGATCGGTTCGAGACGCAGGAGGCCCTAAGTGGATCAATCAGCTTGCGCTGGCTATCGAGGAACAGAGCTTAAGCAAAACGTTTGGGGATTGTTGAGGCGCAAAGGCGTCCAGTCTAACACGAGTGTCCCCACTGCTCTGCTAGTGGACCCGTGACTAGTTGAGACAGAGGAGTTCTGTGTTTCTCTGGTGGCAAACAGTTCGAGGTGGACATTTATCCAGGGGAAGATGTCCTTGGCTATGCCCTTGTGGAAGAGTCACGCTTTGCAGCACCCTCCCCCTCGATTTGCAAAGCCACCAGGTACCTAATCGTAGGCAGGGCTTTCTGCTATAGGTCTGGAGCTCACCTGCGTCAGCGAAATCTGAATACAGATGAAGCTGTTATGGTACTGAAGGCGACAAGCATCCTCAAAGTGGAAATAAAATTGTCCAATCCCCTTTGGTTCCACCCTAAAAGACTTGACATCAGTGCGTCATTTGAGAAACAGAGGTCAATACTTGCATCTGCACTGCTCACAAACTTCAGAACCAAACATATAAAATGACAACTTTCTTCGTTTTTTTCAAACGCTTCAGAAACTGGGTGAATTGCATCAAGGAGGAAATGGTGTACCAATGAAGCATATTCGAGAGAGGATCTGTGTCGTCCAGCAAAAGCAGTTAGAAGCTGGTCCACAAGTTGACCCGATCTGATTATGGTTCCAGCTCGGGATTGAACAGAGCTGTCAAAATAATCTCTTTCCAACTGGCCAAAGTGGGACCATGGTCATAGAAATATGAATTAAAATGCAGTGATCAGCGGTAAGGTTGGTTGGTTTGTTTTTTAACGCCGCACCCAGCAACATTCCAGCTATATGACGGCGGTCTGTAAATAATCGAGTCTGGACCAGACAATACAGTGATTGATATCATGAGCATCGATCCACGCAATTGGGTCGATGATATGCATCAACCAAGTCAGCGAGCCTGACCACCCGATCCCGTTAGTCGCCTTTTACGACAAGCATAGTCACCTTTTACGGCAAGCATAGTCACCTTTTACGGCAAGCATGTGTTGCTGAAGACCTATTCTACCCCGGATCTTCACGGGTTCAGCGGTAAGGAGGCAGAAAGAGTGGAATGGAATGACTAGGTTTCCCTTGTCCAGCAGTCCCCGGGCCGGCCAAAAATCTAAAAATTTCCAAGGATGACACCAACTGGGAAAGTAGCAAAGGGAATTATTACCAGTGTTGTAGATGCCACAGTCTTCCGAATTCAGTGTCCTTCAGACTAGTAGTCCCAGACAATGATATGTAATCAATTATATCTAACGTCCAATGCCATCACTGGCGTTTCAATACTACTAATCCCTAGAATCAATGTCCGGGGCCAGGAGCGTCTGACCTATCAGCGTCGTTTTCTGCACTATATTGTAGTGTACAAAATCCCAAAGAACCATACCCTTGCCAAACATTTAATTACAACACTTCGCTTGAATTATGAGCATTTGCATGTGTTCCGGATGCATCTCAGCACCTGAAGGTATTTACGTTAGGCCCTTCGGTACCAAAATAAAACTGACACACACGACAATGTTCATGCTGATATTTATTGAAAGTTTGTTTGTTCAATATTATTCTGGCTATATGACGGGGGTCTGTAAATAATCGTATCTGGACCAGACAATCCTGTGATTGACTTCATGAACTTCTGTATTCATAAACCACGATGATGTATCATACACGTCTGGGTGGAAATTGCACGTAATCCATGTGTTTATATTCAAAAGTACACGGCAGTTTGAAAAGAAAGACATGCTTCACATGTTTATTTCAATTTGCATAAGCACTGAAATTCATTTGCATGTGATACAAAATTCATGACTATATCTAAGCCTATTACTTTTTTGTATTGTCAGCTTATCGATCTGTTAGTTTATCTACAGTAACACAGTGACCTTGTCCTATTACTTCCTGCTCTATGATTCCGCTAACTTGCTTGCTTTAGCCACATGTGTGCACAGCTTTTAGTTGGTTGGTTGGTTGGTTGTTTTACGGCTCACTCAGCATTATTCCAGCTATGGCGTGTTGCCGGCACTGTAGCTCTGTATTGATTGATTCGTGTCACACACTTGTATTACATTGATAAGAGATTACGGACGGGGTAAGTTTTAGACAAACATTAAAGCACCCCAATCTATATGTGGCTGCTAAACAAGTCACTGATCCTGACCACACGATCCAAAAGTACTGTTTTGTTGTCATTTTTCCTACGGTTAATCGTTTCTCTAACAATAGCGAGTCTAGATACTCTCTGGTTTTACCAGTAAGAATAGTTTTATACTTTAACTTAAACATTTTGGGTAGGTCATTTTACTGTGAGAGTGAGCTGGTGTGGATGTAACACCGTTTGAAATTGTACTTCAGTAACATCATGACGTCTCATCTCTGACCACTTTGGTGAAACCCAAAAGCTTGAGTATGGTGATGACAAAATTGACAACATTATCTAGACCAATGAGACCCAAGATCAAAGGTTTCTAGTTCACTTGTGGCACGCATCTCTGCACTAATTCCGGCGTCTTAAACGACTTGGTCACTGGTGGCTCCAAGTCAGTTGCTGTTGATATGATGTCACGGTGATGGGACAATCATTTGTGAATCGGTGATGCTCGGTATTAACATGTATTACCCACGTGGTGAAGATAAAGGTGGTAAGATACTAAATCCGTACGTCACACGTGTGTCGTACAAGGTTGACCTTGTTTTATTCGTTTTGATTGGATAACCGTGACCTCTGTCACACCGGGACTACTTTTTTCATTCATAAAAAATCGCGAGACGTCATTCATTTTGAAACTACAAGGCAGAACTGAAGAAATTCATGAGAACGAGAGATATTTACAAACACTTTATTAAACCAAACAAGATAGTCACACGCATCAAATTCGGTTTGCATTCTATATAAGTTATGCATAGAGCTCCTACAGACATATAATCGAGCTAGATCTATAAATCGATTTACAATGTACGACTGCCGATCGAGCGCGTCCCTTGAGCGTGACGCACCCGACCATTTTCACAACTTTCAATTTGATTTAACGTAAAAGGATAAGCGTGGTGAAATGAAGTCTGTTTAAACTGTCTGGGCAAATATCTAGACTTACTTGGGATGATCCGGTTGTGCCATCGGTGTCCCCTTTGAAGCGTATTTTATGGCGCTGTTTCGGGAGGTATTGTTCATGAATGAACGAACACGACAGCACGACCAGATCACTTAAAATTCACAGTTCCGATACAAATCAAATCGAAAACTCCGTGGAAGTGTGCTTGACTTCTGATTTTGTGGCCCCAAACATCCCAAATGTGAACAGTAACATTCCCTATCTCTAGCGTAAAACGTTGTGAGTGGATAGCGGTTGTCTTTTCTTATTCCGCCGGCGACCTTTCCCTTCGATCGTTCGAAGCTGTCACTGACATGCAAGCAGATTTGAGTTTGTTGATTTTCACGTCTTCAGTATATAGGGTGGTACAGTTAACATGAATGTCTTTGGGAACAGTCTGATTTCCCTCTTCCAAAATGGTACGGACATGATATAAATTCAGCTGATAGATCAAGGAAACCGAACCATTTTGATTGCACAGACGGGACCCCGGCAGTGTGATGCGTGTGACTGTTGGTCCGATATTCAAAGCGCGGCGCTAATGTGACATTTCAAATTTTCTTATCGGTGTCCTGCGTACTAACAACATGGCGCTTGAACTTCCATAAGTTGAAGACTTTCTTCCAAAAGGATCTTGAGCGTCGGTGCTGGTTTGTTTGCAAACAGAACAGCAGGCGCATGTTGTTAATGCGTATGCATAAACATGTCAACAATGCCCATATTTGGTCATATATCAATATTCATGCACAACCAGATTTTGCAACCGGTTTCAGTTTGGTCTGTCAACGAACGAAAGTTGTTATGTATTTACACTTAAATATATATTTAACGTGGGTAATAAACAAAATACCACACTCATTCTCGTAAGATACCATTTTTTACGAAACTCGTGAACTTTCTATGGTATCTGACCTCGCTTTCGCTCGGTCAGATACCATAGAAAGTCAACTCGTTTCGTAAAAATGGTATCGAACGAGAATGAGTGTAGTATTCTCTATTTATCATCCAAAACTGGCTCCCACAGGAGATATCGCTTGGATGAGATCGAGCAATATCTACACTGTAGATATCGCTGCAATGAAATTACATCACAATGCTTTGAAAACCATTGTGACGTCACTGGTTACCATGACGTCACAATCAAATGACATCACTAATGGCACTACTGAAGCTGTTAGCAGTACTTTTTAAACTGAAGACACTGCTAATTACTGTTTACAAATTGAAAAAGATGGAGGAATGATGTTGGATGATAAATAAATCTCACGCTTGTGTCTTTTGACATCAGATATATCAACACTCGTTGATAAAAGTGGCAAAAATCCTCGGCAAGCCTCGGAATATTTCCACTTTTATCAACTCGTGTTGATATATTTGATATCAAAAGACACTCGGGTGAGATTCTCTATATGTAAAGACACAACCGAACCCAGCACTGTATCTTTGTGTCATTTCAGCATCAGGCGTGAGCAGCTGTGTCGGACTTCCGGACGGTGACTACGCATCGAGTACAGGATGTAAGGATTTTGTCACTTGTTCTTTCGGAAGGATCTTTATTCGCTCCTGCGCAAAAAGCACAGGCTGGGACGACATAATCAAGACATGCGTATTTCTTCCCACCCCTACATGTGCCTAGAACCGATTCCGGGGTAGAATTAGGCGTGTTAACAACCAAAACATTCTGACAAATGAATACTTTCAAACATCCTATTTGAGGCAATTTGTTGGGCAGGACGTCCGCTTCATTGCACGATGCAAGGAATCAATCTGATGAAACCTGAAACTGCCATGCGTATTACTCAGTGGAAAACAGAGTCCCAGAATCAGAAAGAAACATACCGACAGTATTTTGTAATTTGAGTGAGTGAGTGAGTGAGTTGGGTTTAACGCCGCTTTTAACAGTATTCCAGTTATATCACAGCGTGTCAGCTTAATGTGGGAGGAAAGCCCGAAGTGATGCAGGTCTCGGACGTTTACCACTTCGGTGAAACCCACGAGCACGGGTATGGTGCTGACAAACCTAGAAACATAATCGGGGCTAACCGGGATTCGAACCCACAATCATAGGTGTCTGGCGTGCCCAAGGGACGCAACTCTGCACAGCGAATCGCGGCGCCTCAGACGACTGGGGCCCCCCGTGCCCCCTTGTAATTTGAAGGTGTTCGTAATACAGATTTATAATATATTATTGGCAGTATTCATTTTAACAGATTATTCATCCTACAGACGTTGGTATTATGTATAAATCCAATCGTACATGTTTATCGTAATTTTTTAAAGTAAAATATAAAGTGTTTTTTTCAAGTATTCACAGGGTCCTGGTTTATGTTATCTCACTTTATACATGTTTTACTTACAGGAGAGTCTAATTAGTCACCGTTAATACTTGTTCTTTATTATTATTCTCTTCAATAATGGCATAATAAATATTTTTGTCAATGTGAATTTGTCGTCATTAACAAGTGAGTGCTGTTGGTGTGAGCGAAGAGTGGACACAGGTGTTTACGTTCATAAACCGTAAACTCACACAAATACACTAACGTCAATTCTTCTAAATAAATAAGCTAACGATAACAACTTCTTAATCTGCTCATGTAATCACAAACAAAAAACGTATACAACGAAACGAAATCAGTGACATTTGAGCGGAATAAGCACCGTCCTCTCAATGATCAGGGGTGGTAGGGTAGCCTCGTGGTTAAAGCGTTCACTCGTCACGCCGACGGCCCGGATTCGATTCCCAAGTTGGGTACAATTTGTGAAATCCATTTCAGGTGTCGCTTGACGTGATATTGCTGCAATAGTGCTAACACCGCTCGCTCACTCACTCTCTCAATTATCGGCCAATACAAGTTACGCGATAAATCGTAAAGAACAGTGAGGAACGAAGTGTGGTTGATTTCGCGATAAAACATTGTTCTATCATAACGTCATTTCTGGAGATTCCAACATGGGATCGCAACTTGATGACGTCGTATATTGGAAGACGTTATTTTTGAGAGGGGAGTATCTTGTCAGTTGTTCCCCACAGATGTAGCTGGGCAACGCAGATATAAACGCGATAGCCGAACGTTTGCATCCAAAAGCGGGCGAGATGACAATCGGTATTGGGGAAAAAAGGTACAGATAATCGACGTGAAGATTGTGAGAATATGTGGGAAATACCCACCCGTGCATACAATGGACTTGTCCGACATTGCCGAGGTCGGATTCTACTGAGGTAGTCATCAGTATGAAATTTCGGTAAAATATTTTTAAAGGTTGTACATTTTATCATCAGCCTTAAAGAGGCCGTACAATATGTTGATATCTCCTATAAGAAATACACGACTCGATGTCGTTGTTTTTCTACCTACAACTTAACACAGAAGGGAGACTAAAGCACTGGGAGCTGCGTCCCCCATGGTTCATTGTCCCTGTGTTTTGTGTATGTTAAGTAACTCCCACTCCCACTCGTTATTTATTTCTCCCACTCGTTATTTATTTCTTAAAGGGGGCACGGGTGGCCCAGTTGTCTAAGGCGCCTGTCCACTTTACTTGTAATCAGCAGAAATTCTGCACTTGTAATTCAAATTTAACACATCGTTTTTAAGTTCAATAAACGTGCGGGTAAGGCCTTCATATCGGACCTGTGAAGATCCGGGGTAGAATAGGTCTTCAACAACCCATGCTTGCCGTGAAAAGCGACTATGCTTGTCGTAAAAGGCGACTACCGGGATCGGGTGGTCAGGTTCGCTGACTTGGTTGATACATGACTTTTTGTCATCGATCCCAATTGCGTGGATCGATGTTCATGATGTAAATCAATCGATTGTCTGGTCCAGACTCGATTATTTACAGACCGCCGTCATATAGCTCATGCTCTTACTGAGTGGAATGTTGGGTTCACTATCACTGGATTATCTGGCCCAGGCTCGATTGTGTACTGTGATGCGCGTAAGGCAAATTGTGTGAGTTGTAGGTGCTACCGGTAGAGCAGGACATGCTACGTTATCTGGACCACCAGTTGTCGGACTTCCATTTTGTGGAAGCCTCGCTGGCTGAGTGGGCTAGATCGCTGCCTTTGTGTGCTGGAGATTAGGTGCCTCACTCTGGCAGTGTGGGTTCGAATCCCGGACGGGACTCAACCCAAAACAGTACTAGAATCTGTACTTTACTAAGAAAGTGTTATCCCAAATATAACATTAGTTTCCTTTGATTCCGCAAACTTATGAGGAAAGTCCATTTTGAAGATGGGGCTTTTTCTCTGTAAGTGAGGTGGGGTGAAATGGGGTTTAACGTCGCGTCAAGGGTTTGCACTTATATAGCGACGTGCATGTACGTGTGTGTGAGTGTGTGTGGCTGCTTGTACTGGTCCGGACTGATACCGATTGATAGTACTAGCTCACTGAGATACCATGCCACAGTTTAACATGAATACCCCACTCAGACACAGTATACTGACTCCGAGCCGACCACTCCTTGTTTTAGCCCCTTAATGCCGAGCGCCAGACAGGGTAACAACAAGAACCATCTTTTAACGTCCCCACGCGGCCGGGGATCGAACCCGGACCTTCCGCTCTCCGATGTGACGCACTACCACTAGACCACATACTTCTATCATTGCTGTAAATGTAGATGGAACATTAACATCAATTATCGTTTATTGATATAGTTTAACAGAACTATGGCTTACATAAGTCCGATAAAACACATCATAAGGTTGGCAATCGTGAGAGGGAAAACAGCCACCAATGTTGACAATGGCCCTGGTCAAAGTTACAACTGTACTTTGTTAAACGAAATGGAAAACATAATGCTTTCTTTTACCGTTCATTTTCGAATCCGAAATCGGGCTGTCGGTATTCTTACCCACCCATGTTTGTAAATAGTGTGAATCAGTTAATGTCAGCCATATGTCACGCCGCGGATTATACCAAACATACAGCCACAGCAGCCTCAAAGTTGCGCGAGATTGGTGTTGGTGCATCAGGCATTACGTCTGTTGCAGTCCACAGGAATGAGCAATCCTTGAAGAGATGCTTCAGTAGTCCTGTTTCTCTGCTCAGAGGACCGCCTCCGTGGTCTAGTGGTAGAGCGTCCGCCCGGAGTGCGGAAGGTCCGGAGTTCGATCCCCGACCGCGTCATACCAAAATATGTTAAAAGATGGTACTTGTTGTTACCCTGTCTGGCGCTCGGCATTAAGGGGCTAAACCAAGGACTGGTCGGCTCGGAGTCAGTATACTGTGTCTGAGTGGGGTATTCATGTTAAACTGTGGCATGGTATCTCAGTGTGCTAGCACTACAAATCGGCATCAGTCCGGACTAGTACAAGCAGCCACACACACACATGTGCATGCACGTCGCTATGCAAGTGCAATAATCTTGGACGCGACGTTAAATCCCATTTCATCTCACCTCTCTGCTTAGAGCATTTTGCAACATTCTGCAGTCAAAAAACAATAATTTAATCTCAGGCCGCCATGCTCTAGGGCGTCGTTTGCGAATGACAATATCTCACATTTCGCGGTTTACATTTGCTGTAGTCTGCTAACATTAGTAGTGGAAACAGATTCACCCTTAACGACGAAACAGTCCAAAAATAACCACCGTCCTCGTGGTAGTCTTCGTGCATCGGTGACTAAGATGATACTTGATGCAGTTCCCTATTTTGACTTGTAGCATGTTCCCGTGTTTTTTTCAGGTGAACAGTTGACATGCCTTTGTGTTTGTGCCACGGGTACCACCGCTGGGACAGGATACGCTCACCTTCTTGCGAACACCTGGTATCATCACTATTTGATAGTTATTCATAGTGAGTGAGTGAGTTTGATTTTACGCCGCTTTTAGCAATATTCCAGCAATATCACGGCGGGGGATACCACAGATAGGCTTCACACATTGTACCCATGTCGGGAATCGAACCCGGGTCTTCGGCGTGACGAGCGAACGCTATAACCACTGGGCTACCCGACCGCCCCTGATAGTTATTCATAACCACATGCATATGCTGCACTAGTGAGTGAGTGAGTGAGAAAGGTTTAACGCCGCTTTTAACAGTATTCCAGTTTTATCGCGACGTGTCAGCTTGATATGTCAGCTTGAAAGCCCAAAGTGATGCATGTCACAGACGTTTACCACTTCGATGAAACCCACGAGCACGGGCATGATGCTGACAAACCTAGAAACATAATCGGGGCGAACCGGGATTCGAACCCACAATCATAGGTTTCTGGCGTGCCCAAGCGACGCAACTCTGCACAGCGAATCGCGGCGCCTTAGACGACTGGGCCACCCGTGTCCCTGCTGCACTAGTAGTCCGAATGGTACAATGGCTTATCGAAGAGATTTCTTGTGATTATGGAAATGTTCTTGTCGCTTTTAATGTAATTTGTTTGTTTGTTGTTTAACGCCGCACTCAGCCATATTCCATCTATATGACGGCGGTCTGTAAATAATCGAGTCTGGACCAGACAATCCAGTGATTGACATCATGATCATCAATACACGAGATTGGGATCGATGACATGCATCAACCAAGACAGCGAGCCTGACCACCCGTTCCCGTTAGTCGCCTCGTACGACAATCATAGTTCAACTTGCCTTTTATGGCAAGCATCGGTTGCTGAAGACCTATTCTACCCTGGATCTTCACGGGTCTTTAATGTAATTCAAAAACTCGTCTTTATTACAATTCACATGGGACTAGAGCATACATTGTACCTTAACTCTTAAACAGCAAATAGAACAGTGCAACCAGCAGCATCCAATAATGACGGTTTGAAATGCGTGAATAATTGCAACACATGGTTTATAGCGTAACCAACGATCCATATCATTGGGCCACTATCAACCGGGTCACTCATTCTTACATCCTATTTTCATTACGACAAACAAGTAGTTATCAGAATCATTTCAGTACCGATATCCGATCAGCATGTCA